CGTCTCTGGCACAGACAGTCGCAGGAGCAGTGGCGTCTCTGGCACAGACAGTCGCAGGAGCAGTGGTGACTCTGGCACAGACAGTCACAGGAGCAGTGGTGACTCTGGCACAGACAGTCACAGGGGCAGTGGTGTCTCTGGCACAGACAGTCACAGGGGCAGTGGTGTCTCTGGCACAGACAGTCGCAGGGGCAGTGGTGACTCTGGCACAGACAGTCACAGGGGCAGTGGTGTCTCTGGCACAGACAGTCACAGGAGCAGTGGTGTCTCTGGCACAGTCAGTCACAGGGGCAGTGGTGTCTCTGGCACAGACAGTCGCAGGAGCAGTGGCGTCTCTGGCACAGTCAGTCGCAGGAGCAGTGGTGACTCTGGCACAGACAGTCACAGGGGCAGTGGTGACTCTGGCACAGACAGCCTGGTGGGACACAAGAAATGCTAACATGCAAAGTACTGGCTCAGTGAATCCTAATACAAATGCACCTCATCGATTAAATCACAAGCCTGCATTAATGTAACAGGGGCAGGAGTAAATGGAGGTGGAGACAGAGATATGAGTGGCTTTGTCAATAACAGCATTTCAGCTCACAGAACTGGTATAAAAATTACCCTGTTATACTGCATCAAATTACAAATACAAACTTAAAGCAGTAAATGATCACTGTTATAACACATCCAAAGCAACATTTCAGAGTAGGGAAACCCACTGCATTAAAATCCTTAACGTACAGTCAAAACAACCTTGCAATAATGCAAAATAGACTCACCTGTGACGTTGACTGTATGAAAAGAAAAGAAGCACGAAGATCTTTCATCTGGGCAAACTTGTCATTCATTTTTCTGTCATTCATTCTGCATCAATCCTTTGAATGAATTCGTTTTCAGTTGATAGCACGGCAAGTGCATTTAACTACAACTCTCCCGTGGTGTTGCGTATAAATGTCTAAAACCTTTTCAGAGTTTATTAACCCGATACTGGTGGCTAACATAACTACTAGTTGTTGGTTGAAAAGACCAATGACAACGACCGGGCGGATGTCAAATCGATTAGCGTTACATTTCATTGGCTGCCGTCAGCACGGTCCATCCTGATTATGCCCTACAGCTCATAACTGAAAGCGCATTGAACATGCTCGCACTGATTTCAGCTGCTCACTTGCTTAAACAGACGCTGACAGGACAGCCCCATGGGCACCAAAGGCAGACTGTTAGGGGCAGTCCTGACATAGATGCAACAGATATAACAAGACATTTTGGAATGCAAGACAACGCTACCATTGGTAACAAACGCACACTATTAGCTCAACAGCGACATCTAGTGGGGCCTGACCCCACCTGCCCCTACTGTAGAGACCCCACACAGGAGAAAGATTTATATGTTTTCTGGCACTTGCGGTAAATTTTTCTCCATAAGTAAACGCTGATCTATGACGATAATGTCAATAGATTAAATTAACACCATGGTCACCGTCCGATTTGACTGCGGTTGAGCAGTTCTTAAAGGAGAGCAGGCAAATATTACACAGACTAGGTGTGCAAAGTTAGTAGAGAAGTATCCTAACACACCCATGGCTGTAATCACAGGGGGTTCTGAAAAGTTCATTTTTTCCTGAACTGTTAATGTTAGATCTTCCACCTGTTATAAGTTGCATTACATAAATACAGCTGGAAAAATATTTTTTTGTGTGTGTGTCTTCATTTCAAGCTGCGAAGCAACAAAATGTGAATATTTTAAAGGGGGAGAGGATTCTTATCTATACTCATTGTACATGCAAATGTCACATTGCTGATTGGGGCTAGATGGAATACTTGTCATAGTTACTGTAGGTCTCTAAGTTTATTCTTTCCCGATTTTTTCTGCAATATGATTTTATAAGCAAAAAAATAAAGCAAGACCGGACCCCAGCTGGTACCACGTAAAGGGCTGTTTGGGACGTCCTGCCAGCCCAGACGCCTTGGTGTTCAACAGCAAATGAGTTCCCTCTACCCACCTTGCATTTATCTGGTTTTGGTGGTGCCCTCTGCTGGATGCACATAAGAAATGCATTTATCTGGTTTTGGTGGTGCCCTCTGCTGGATGCACATAAGAAATGTATTTGCTCTGCCTAACGCAACACCAACATTATTTTAAGGTGGATCTTACAGAGTACAATCAGAGACACTAGTAACATCCCCCCCACCTTAATCTTAAATGTCAATGTGAAGGCTTCTCCTAGTTAATCACAAAGGCAGGCAGAACCCGGCGTCATGTGGAGGCTCCCAGTAGCCTGCTGGGAAAACCCAAAACCCAGTGAGCAGGGAGAGTGTATGTCTGTATTTTACAGGTTAATGCTCATTTCTGACAGGTTAGGAGGCTATAACTCTGATCGGAAGGTTGCTGAAAAAGTGATTTAGGTGTTGAGTCGCAGAACAAGGGCCAGTCGCTATAGAAATGGTCTCACTCTGCTT